GATCCAGCACAGAGGCCTGCTGACACCATGGCCCCCCATAGGTGATGGTCAGCTGTCAAGATATGCTTCAGCTTCAGCCCTCTCCAGCTGGAAAAACTGGAGAGGGCTGAAACTAAAGCACATCTTGACAGCTGAGCATCACCTATGGGGGGCCATGGTGTCAGCAGGCCTCTGTGCACCCCATGCTCCTCTGCAAAGACTGTGCAGACTGGGCAGAACACTGCCCACAGCTTTTATACAAGCCAAAGCCTCTGAGAGCATACTCTCTATGGAGAGACCACAATTGCCTCAAACTGCCACGGGAAACGCTTGTCCTGTTATCTCACTGCTAACCAATGTCATTCATTTCCAGCAGCAGAACTTCAAAACAGCTCCCCAGAGCTCAGCACAGACGCCTCCCACAGCTCCCTTGCAAAATGCAGATGTGCTCCTCCTAAACGCATTTTTAACATTCCTGCATATTTTCAAAGACATTCTTGACCTAATGTTCCAAGAGATGACAGTGCAGTAATGCAGTAATTATGGCTACAATAGTACCGTAAAAGTCATTCCACATTGTATGGAGGATTTATTGTAACAGTTTATTTAACAGATCAATCTTCTTCTGCCTGTTTCACTGCATGGAATTCCTCCCTCTGCCCTGTCCACTCCTGCTCATCTCTCTCCCTCCATTTAGAAGAAATTTCACTGCAAAAGGGCTCCCAGGAACTCACAGGCAGAATGAGGTTGTTTAATGCAGGGAAAACAAACAGGCACTCATCCCCAGCAGAGAGGCAACATGAAAATTGCCATGTGAACAATTACTGATGCTGTTTAGGGCAGACTCACATGGTCAAATTCAAACTGCATGGGCTTCGTGGACTTGGTAGTCAGCCTAAGCAGATTCTTGTATTAGCATTCCTGATCAGAGTGGTGTGCTTTAAAAGCAACATTCAGCATTACATTCCTCTGCCAAGGCTGTCCTCTTTCAGAGAGGCTTTCTGGAGCTGTGCAGCACCTATACCTAACGCTGTTCTGACTGCAGTGAGTGGGCAGATGGGCTGTGCCTTATTCACATCCGCTTGGGGAAATCCTCTTTCCCTTGCAAGTCAATGCATGGGGATGATGTCACTATGAGGGAACTCTGCATTTTGGACAGGTTCATGTGTTGCTGCAGGGCTGAACAGCCATTTCAGGTTTAATGAAACATCCTTTCCTCACAAATAAGGCTTTAAAGAACATCACTATGAGGAACTTGAAGAAGCACAGGCTAGCTTCTCCTCTCCCTCTTAGCCAGGCAGGTAGCTGCTGAAGGCAGAGAGCCTGCAGTGTGACACTGATCTTTGTCCACTGCTGTGTGTGCTTCAGCCTGTGCAGCCTTAAAAAGGGAACTCGAGTTACTTAGCAATTTACTGCCTTTGGCAGTTATATGCAAAGAGCCTCTGCTGTAAATTGCTAAGTAACTTGGGCTTCCTTTTCATGTTGCAGTCCTTTGATATTTCTTTTCCATTCCAGCCTAAACAAGGAAGCAAGCCACACCAGGCAGTGATCAGCTGATCTGTCCCCAGCCCTGCACAGTCTCAGACAGATATGTTCCTTGCTCTCAGTACACACGCACATGGAAAGGCTCCATTCCAGCCCAAATCCAAACAGTAGCAGTTTGCTACTGCTATTTCTTCTCACCTCTGCAAGCCCTTGTAGGAAGGCTCCAATAAACCCTTCAAGGGCAGGACTTTGCTGGCTTGGCCTTTATAGACAAAAGGCATCTAGCCACAGACCTGACCCTCAGGTGCATATACCAGTGACCTCAGGCCAAGGAATGCTGCCAGAGCCAGAAGCAATGGCTTCTGGCTCAGAATGCCTATTCCTAAAGGAATGTAGAACTTTATAGGCTAAAAAAAACCCACAAAACCTGTCTCACAGAACTTAAATGTCAAGCCTGAAAATACATGCAAATGTTGGCATAAGAAGACAGCACCTCAATTTGTTATTTCAGTGCATTTTCTTTGTCTTTTTAACAGCTCCACCAGACAGAATATAAACTTTGCGTTTTACAACAAAGCCCTCTACACATTTTTTGAAAGAAATGATTAAAAAAAATATTTCATCATGATGAGCTCCACATAGAAACCCTGCAAAAACATACCTAAATAATTTTGCTGCAGCACTGTTATAAGACCAAGAAGGACTAAGTTAAATATTTTACTTTTATGAAAAAACTACTATGAGAATAGGAATGCACCTCCATAGATTTACTGGGCTTATAAGAAATGTAGAATTCCCCAGCCTAAATCACTTGAGGCAAGAACATTATTAGATAAGACTAAATCACAAAACGAATGAAATAGCAAGACAGCTGACTGATACCAGTGAATTTAGTTAGGAACGCTGCTTCAGTTAGGGGAAGATGAAGAAAATAAAGAGGAATTAATCTTCCTGGCAGGAAACCTAAAATTCTAGCACAGCAAATAATCTCATTGTGACCTAACCGAGGAGGGGGAGGCCGGTGTCAGACCCAGCTGCAGTAATCGCCCTTCGGTCACGGGGGATCACAGAGCACTGTGCATCGCAGTGATACTGCCGCACGCTCCCTGGAGGCTGCATGCCGGAAACTGGAGCCTGCTGCGGGCTGCCAGCACCAGGCCTCCTCCCTCCCTTCTGCTGCGACACTGGGAGGCACGAGGGGAGAGCGCGGCTGGAGCAGCGCTCTGCTGCCTCACCTCCTGCTTCCTCCAAAAGGGCCCCCAACTGGGACATGTGCCCAGCTGCTGCCTCCAGGACAGTACTGTAGAGGAGATAACCCAGGGAGTGAAGGCTGATTTGTCTGCCCAGCATCAGGGATCATAAGGGATGCTTCTGTAAATCTTCACAGTGACCTTCAAGTGATTACAGTCTCAAATGATTTTGCACCAACCACCAGAAAACATTCACATTTGCTCCCTTTTCCATCACTTTTAATATGCCAAGCAGCACTTATTCATTCCTTATTCATTAGATAAACTCTCTTCATCCATCTGTGTTGAATTTGGTCTTTTCTCTTTCAGTAATCTAAAGAACTACAAAAAAGTGATTCACACATACAATGAGAAAACAGACTTACACAAAATATAGAAACATATCGCAGCAAAGGATATTACAAGGGAAAGGAAATAAACGGATTAAGAATTACATAAATATATGCGTATAGAACCAGGAAGATTACAATGTCATAAATACAAACCCTCAGGGCTCGACACTGTGAACAAAAGAGCAGGCACACTGACTAATGTTTTGATGCTTGAGTGTTTGCAGGCTCAAGACTTACCCTTGTAATGCTTTTTAAACCACTGATGAATATAAACGGGGGTTAAACACACAGAACTACAGAATGGCAGGCGATGGAAGAGACCTCAAGAGATCACTGAGTCCAACACCCCTGCTAAAGCAGGTACCCTACAGTAGGTTGCATGGGTAGATGTCCAGATGGGTCTCTAATTTCTCCAGAGATGGAGACTCTACAATCTCCCTGGGCAACCTGTTCCAGTGCTCCAATCACTATTATGTAAAGAAGTTCTTCCACATGTTTGAACACATTTGATTTAATAAAAGCCACATATGGAATAAGAATTTGTCATCCTCTTCAGCTGTATGCACTGAGGACATGACATCAGTTTTACCAGTTCTCGAACAATCATTAATTCCCTAACCTGAAAGCACGAGACTCACTCAAAATATAATGTTTTTAAAAGTAAGAATTTCCCCCCCTGTTTCTCTACATGCACATGCGTAGAAAGCTGATGTATTTAAGATGAGAAAGCACAGATCATTTCCTCACCAGAATCATTATCATGAGCATCCGGGAGCGTGAGATGAAGTCCGTTATGCTTTTTGATCACTGGCGTTTCAGTCACACTACTTCCTTTCTCAGAGCCACTGTAAAGAAACAAAACTGTTATCTGGCCACCTTTCAGCAGGGAGACAATGTTCTCCTCGAAGCAGGCAATAATCTCCCCTAACTGTCTTCTGGAACTGAAAACTTCAGGTGTTTCTTGAATGTGTCATTCTAACACCACCTACCCAGCAATGGATGAGAAATTCGGTCACTGAAAAACCACGACCAGCAAGGGCTCCAGTTTGTGTGCTGCTTTCAGTTTATTTGACTGCTGCAATCTTTGACAACTACTGGATGGGCAATGTGTTGCCAGCTAAAAAACCAAATAAGAAAAGGCCAACTACCAATGTCCCGCATACAGAAGAACCACTGCCCCTTGGGATTTTCTGTAGAAGTTGGATTCGTGAGTGTGCTGCTCTAATCCTTTTGAAACAGACCAACCACTTTCCAAACTCCTTTATTTCAAGAAGATTATCTCCTCTCTCACTTTTGTTCTATTTCAACAGAGAAAGAAGATAAAAGCTACCACATAGTACCACTTTATGAAGGGAAGCCTATTTGGTCTGCTTCTCTTCTAGACTTCTGTTCTCACACGGCAGCTCTTCAAAAGAGGAACTCCAAAATAATAATAACCCTGTATCTAATGATAATCATTTAGTGTTGATCTCCTGAGCCTTCCTGTCACCAAAGGACTGCCACCTCTCTAGGACCAGACGGATGGTGATGATATCTCCTCTCACCATCCATTAAGAGACAAAATATCAAAAGGAAAAGTGACTGCCCTGGCTATTTTTACTGGCACACTTCCAAGCCCTGCAGCTCAGCTTTTGGATAATATTCCTTCCAGGAAAGGAGCTGTCACAGAATCGTGATTGCTGTGGATGCCCAGTCTGCCAGTTTAATTAGTCCTATGGTACAGACTGCATAGGATTCCCTTGAATTTGTATTAATCCAGCAGAAGAATTACCTTGGGATTGGGATCTGGTTTTAAATACGATTGTGCTGTAATCACAAAAAACAACAGCAGAAGATAAACCAAATCTTGCCCTTGCCAACAAACAGTCTAGGACTGAAAGCCACTTACTGTCATTTGTCATACTGGTAATCGCATTTATAATAGCTAATTAACCTCTTACTAGGCTTAGGGATCAAACATTACAGTTTTTGTTAGTGGACCATGAATTCTCAGCGACTGACTGCTCATCTAAGTCTGGCCTTGACTAGGCCTCCCCGTTTTACAAACTGGTTTCCAGACTGATGTCCCATTTGAAATTATTTTGTGGTGAAAGATAGAAGGGAGAATTCAATGCTTAGTCCCGCACCTCTGTCTTGCTCAGCCATCACTGTCTCAAGTGTCATTGCCTTGGCTGGAGGATGCTGGTGGAACAGCAGAGGTATGTGCAAACCTGCCAGCTTTGCTTTATAATATTACTAACATGGTGCTTTGATGCAGCAGTCACCGTGAGGTCAGTGTTGAGGCACATGGCCGAACACTGATTTAGGCATTAGATTACTACAGAAAGGACAGGCACTTAGCATGGTACATAAATACCTGCCAGGGGAGAAAGTAGGGAGAAAGTACTGGGCCCTACCTAGAAGACTGTGTAGACTGACAAAGTTACGGTAAGATTGTGCAGCTGAGAAACCAGGGCCAAACAATACAACCAAACGCAACTGAAGTGCAATTTAACTGTGGGTGATTAGCTACTGATTGAACTAGTAAAGAGTTTCGAGTGTAACAGCTCTCAACCTCATATAAAAACAGGCTTTTCTTTTCCAAGAGGCCCTAACAAATGGCTGCCTCCAAGTCCCACTGATAAGAATTCCCCTTCAGTTCCTTTGAATGCCCAACCCAGAATATTTTAAATATTTGTTAGCTGATAGTGCTGCAATTTGCATTAAAAAGGGTACTTCCTGCAGCACTAAATCCAGTCAAAAACTGCAGGTACCAAGTTAATTTCTGCTACTTTTCAAGCACTATTTCCTAATGCAAGATGCTTTCTGAAGCATTTTTTTGAGAAAGCCAAAAAATATTACTGGGAATAGCAATGAAATACACATTAGAGGTCCTAAAAGCAAAAGCAGAGCAATTTGTTTTGTTTAGGCTTCTATGGCTAAAGCTTATCAAAAGCCCCTAAAGCTGTCACATCTTGGTCTTTTAAACATAACAGCCAAAGCACAGCTTGAGATCCAAATGCAATCCAAATGCTTGAAGTATTTGTCTGTTCTCCAACTCAGTCCCTTCAGTCTCAAGATTGCAACCCCCCAGCTTGCAACAGTAAGTCACATCCAGTTCTACATGTTCAGCGTGGATTTGATCACCTTCACGAGGACGACTCATGAGTGTAAAGATTATTCATGTGAAAAATACAAGATTGAATCATCAGCTAAAGACACTAAGGCTATGGAAATCAATGATTCCAGGATGTAAGAGACTATTTCTAGTGCTGTGTAAATATATGTAGTGTGTGGTCTGCTGCTCATTAGCTAAACCAACAAGGAATTACTAAGAATCCTTTAAGAACAGCTTGTACCTAGACATGCATCATTCTGTACCACCATTCTGGTGTTTATACAGCCTGTGTAAATGTACTCACAAACAGGGGAACAATAAAACTTCTTTATCAACTGGGTGCCATGACCGTTGCTGTCAAGCATGTTGTATTTTCCATCAGACACAACCTCTACAAACATTACAAGTGAGAAGTAAGTATAGTGTTGGGATATTTCCAAGGGGGGAAGGGCTGTACATTGGTATGACGACTGTGAAAATAACCAAGGGAAGAGAGAAGGAAGAAAATTCAAACTGTCAACCTTCACACTTTCTAAACTCTTATCTTTTCTGGAGGGGAAGCAGATGACAGAAAGAGAACATAACTATGACCTTTTTCAGCACTATTCAAATTCTTTTTTTTTTTTTAATCGTGGCTAAAAATCTACTTCTGTTGCTTGTTTGAATATTATTATTACTTATTATCCCTTTCACAAAGTAATTTAAGTATAGTATCTGGACAATTAAAGAAGATAGCTACATCCCCATTGTGAACAGTTGGACAGTGGAGAAAGCCTACCTGTGCTGTAAAACACTATAAGCCATCTGCCACATCTGCAACATACGTCTGCATGTCACCAGAGCCTCCTCAGGTCCTTTATGAATCCATTCCAGCTTCACTTTGGTGAAGAGCAAGCTGCAAGATGAAAAAGAACAACTTCTGTTTTATTAGTACCTCATAAATGTTGAAAATCAGTATCACTCTAGTAAGATCCTGGCAGCCAGCAATTTTGCTTTCTTAGTATGTCCAGTTCTAAAAGAAAACACGGGAACACAAAACATTTAATTTGGCTCAACTTTAGTTCCCGACATGGAGATGAGAGGATTACCAGTATTCCTCAGCTGCAGTCAGATCTATATCACAAAGTTGGCAGGACATGTTAAAAGCAACGTGTTACAATGCCAACAAGGTGAAGCATACATTGAATCTCATTTTATGGATGCGGACAGCATTAAAAACAAAATAAAAAGGAACTGGCAAAACACAGAAACCAGAATGCTTTTTCAGTCTGCCATCCTCCTGTGACAATGACTTACATAATAAATATCAGACAATATGTTTGGGAAAAATCCAAAGCACCTAATATACTTAAACAATTACGTAATGCCTCACAGGAAGGAAGTATTTCCTCTTCACTCCACCTGGCATCATCTTGTGCCCCTAGGCAAGACAGCTGATAGCCCTGGTATGTTTTTGTACTACATAGTGTAAGAACAGCTACTGTTCTTGTACCTAGAGAATACACACTTGCACAGACCATGGGAATTCAGCAGAATTAGGTCAACCTCAGGTTAGAAGACAGATTCAGTAATGACACAACTCACCACTTGCTGCTAGAATGGCTTTTAACACTGTCTTTTACAAACATGTAAAAAAAATTTCTTATTCCTGTTCACAGCATCAGCAAGACACATACTACAATAGTATCCAGTGTCTAGTTCTCATCTGCAACTCAAATTGGATGAGGTTCAGAAAATGGTTATACTAGTGCACTGAGCCCCCAAAAATGTAGTTCATCAGAGGCTCAAGAAGCTTAGTTGATTTAGTTTAACCAAGAAACAGCAGAGAAAATATTTTGCTTCAGCCTGCAATGGAGAAAATGTACTTAATAGTGAGGTTTAGATCTAACAGAAAATCAGAAGATTCAAGGTTTTGTTGGAAGCTGAAACTTATCAAATGAAGATGGTGAGTAAATGCAAACATGCAATTACGAAAGCAAATAACCTTTGCAGCATCTACCTTGTGTGTAGAGTACATTCTTTAAAGTTTTTTTCAGCAAGACAGGGTAACTTCTGGAAGGCAATTGATATTACACAAATTGAAGCTATGGGCTTGATGGAGAGGCTCACAAGTTAGATTCTTTGGAGTCTGTTCAGCGGAGGAATGGACCTGCACCATCACTCATTGCCCTTTTGGCAATTCACTTCTGAAAAATATTCTATCAGTCCAAGCACCTACTACCATGAACTATCGATGTTATTTTACAAGTGCAGAATATTTTTAAACCATCCAAACTTTCAAGGTGAAAGACCTTCATAACCAATGTATGACATCCACTGCAGCAGAAGAGTAGTGGTCAAGGAGACCTGAGGGCCTTGAGAAGAAAATACTCGTATTATATCCCCAAATAACACCACGCTCATGGGTGCTAAAGGATAACACTCTTAATACTAATCAAATAGAACATATACGAATGAATAATCTGTTAGCAGTCAAACTACTATGCAGAAGGGATACATTAACAGTGTTCCTCCTTCATTTCATACCTGTATGGATATAGATAGTTTAGTTATCCGCACACAAAATCACTACACAGTATACTTAAATATTGTAATTAAGCATTATGAAGGTGAATATTACATTCTTTTTTTCCATCATTCTGCTGCTTTTACAGTGACTACATATCAACTTCTTTGGATGAAGATGCAAAATTCTATCTGAAGAGTGAGAACAACTAATGAAATACAGGAAAAGAGCAAATCCCTAACAAAAACATAACAATGTCTCAGCAGAATATTATCATCAGTTGTAAGACATAGGCACACAAAGGTTAAAAAAAAATAACAAAGAAATAACACAATTTTTGCAAGCGTCACTGCAATGTAACATTAGCAGATCTTAGAAATACCATGCATAGTTAACTGTTGTGGTAATGAGACTCTGGAATACTGCTCTTCATGCTATCAAGCAATAATATAATGAACAAAATCAAAAGGCAAACAGGAAGAACGTAAGTGGCAAAAGGATTCAGGCTGTACTGACAACAGTAGTAAACAATGGAATTCAACATGACAGTTGCAAGCTGGAAAGAAAATCATTGCATTATATATGTTATATGTTGTTTGCATTTCTCAGCTCCTAGTAAGTTTTGTGACAGTAAAACTAGATAAATAAAAATACAGAGAGACCAATGAAGTAGATGGCACAGTATCATTTTTACCTCAAGTTTATCATTTTATTACAGAGATAGCACTCTTGCAACAAATAAATCTAATGGGTATCATGTTGTATCAGTGTCTGCACACAACTCTCAAGTGCATAAACAAAAGATCCGCAAAAGATCTCACTTCATTGTATTTTCTTAGTATCATTTTACTGTACTTTCATATGATGCTTGTAATATTAAACAGAGCAGACTCTTAAAGAGATTCCACATCTAAAAATAGCCGAGATTATCAATATAGTCATTGTTAATTCTGTTAGCCTCTGAAAATGAAAACAGAGATTTGAACTAAAGTAAATACATAAATTACAGGTACATAAGCATAGGAAAAGAGAGGAAAAAAACCCCAAGTCATTCTTGTAATGTGTGCAATTTCAGGAACAGCAACAGTGGAAAATAACCAGTGCTTACTCTCTTGATACTGGACTCTAAGTTCCCTCTTAACACAGGCTTTCTTCTAACACTTACGTGGACAGTATCAAAAGTCTCTGTTCCCTGCCATAAGGTCAAGTAACTGCCACAAGTAAACATACTGATCAATCACAGCAACATTAACTCAAATTAATATATGTATATAGCTGACTTTGTTTAGATAAATTCATTTGCAAAGCTTGAAAAATTAGGTTTCACTATTACAGCATATTATCAATGTGGATGAAGTTGGAAGATGCTATGTCTAATAATAACCTACTGACTTTGCAGATGCTCTAAAAATATAGTAAATTTATTAAATGGTTAATTAAGAGTTCTTAAAGTTCTTTAAAATGGAGTTTTTAGTTTTAAATGTAGTTATGATGCATTTTTACAGCACCACAATGGGATCTCTTTGTTCTACTACAAGCAATAATCGATACAAATACAAACAACACCACATTCCACTGATTTTGAGCTTGAGAGACTGAATTAGAAATAATGAGCATTATGTTATCACTTATCTATATGTTTTGTCATTCACCGGCTGCTTTTAGCCCTTTCAGTTCATCAGAGCTTGTCAATTAATGAAGTTAATTAATCAACATCTCTGAGATTTACCAGATCAAGGCCATAATTTCCCAAAGTCTTTCTTCATTGACCTAGACTTTGACCACCTACACACACAACTGCTGACTTATTCTGAATCTGCATACAAAGGAAAAACAGACAAACAAAACTCTGTCACCAAGCACAGCAGTAATACGTCCCAATTTGTGGAGACAATTATCGACTTTAGAATGAAGATACTGAATCTCTGCAACTAATGTTTGCAGCCTGTGTGTGTCCTTCATTAAATGACAGGATGCATGTGCATGTCTGTTTGTGTGTGTTTACAGCCTTATGCCTGGAGAAAGAAACCAGAGTCCTGGTCACAGCTCTGAGGACAGCAAATGCAGTTTATCCAGTGACAGATTAATGGGGTGTTGGTACAGCAAGTGCCACTGGGAAGCACAGCCTAGCTTACCCTCCCTTACCTCTCAGCATTACGTACGGTCCTTTTCCGTACAGAAAAACAAAGAAATATACCATTCCAGCTCCAATGAAAACCTGGGGGATGCCATGACCTGAGTGGGTAGGTGGCCCAACAATGCTCCCCCAGCACTGAACTCTCTGAATCTGCTTCCTCCCCATTAAGGTAGCAGATGCAAAAGGAGGCTACAAGGGGATACAGAACACAGATTGATTTAACAGATCTAGGAAGAGGATGGAGAAGATGAGGTGAATTATGAAAGTTTGGTAATGCTTTTGGTGCATGGAAGTAAGTGGCCTTCTCAGCCTGGAAAAGAGACTGGGAGAAGAGATGACAGACTTATAAAATCACAAATAGTGTGAAGAAAATAAGAAATAAAAGCAGTCTGTGTTGTTTTAATTGAACAAGTAGGGGGTATCCAATAAAGCAATGAAGCTGTGGATTTTAAATGAGCAAGTGAAGTGTATTTTTGTACAGTGCAAAAGTAAAATGCAAAACCCATTGCTAGGGGACGATCTGGGAGCAAACACATAAACAGGTTCAAAAAGGGATTAAACAAATTCATGGATGACAGACCCATCAGAGGCATTAAACTCTGCCTTAATGCAACGTCTGGCGCAGAAAGCCTCAGAACGACTCAGCTGACAGAAGCAGGGATAACACATGACGGGAAGGATCATCCCACTGCCACATTTCTGCATGCTTTTCCCTGTGCATTCACCAGATGTCCTGCTGAAGACAGAGAAGCCCTTAGTTTGATCAAGAATGGCCATTCCTACATTTTGTGATAGCATAAATATAATTACAGCTTGTATTCTTTTTATAACCCAGATTGTATGGTCTTGTTTTATCTGCTAGTACAAAGAGAAATTGTACCTAGAACTGCAGTTTCTTCACAGTGAATTAGCTGTTTAGTTTATCGCTGCTGAGTTTAGCTACAATGGTGAGTCACCTATACAAGCCAATTAGTTTAAGTTCTTTTATCGTAACAGTTAACCTTCCCAGAGCACCTGCTAAAGCCCTTGCCATGTTATCAATATGAAAAAAATGGCAAAATTGGTAAGCTGCTCTTAATCTTCTACATTCTATTTGATAACATCAACATCAAAGTTGCTGTCTTCTCAAATAACTCAGTGCTTCTTGCAGTCTCCTGACATTTAAGGGCACATTCTCTAGTTAAATTAATGCCAGCAGTGCTGACTGCAACCTCCTTTTATAACTTCATGCTGTGCCATGTAATCTATCACTTTCCCTACAAAAATAAATTGGTCATATACTTTTACAGACATACTGCCTATGGCTCATCGCCCATTTATCCCCACCTCCCCCCCAATATCAACAAAAAATAAAGACAAGAACCACAAGCCTCAGCCCGGAAAAACAAGCAGATTCAAAGATGACACCCCTCTTTAGAAGAATGCCCTGTTCAGAGCCCAGATTCTCCACAAGAGTAATTCAGCTACTGCTGCTCCACAAGCTATGACTGCACAGGATGAGCACAGTTTCCAGAGAGGTAGATTCTTACCTATTTAACATTCACATTATGAAGGTGATTTTTTAAACTTAGCCCCCCAGTAAAAGGCACCTAAAAAGTTCCTGTACACAGCGTAGGAGGGAAACTATGCATGGATCCAAACATTCCAAAACAAACATGTCTGCAGCCAGTCCTATTTGGCCATTCAGTTCCTTAAGGTTCACTTGTGATGCAGAGTGCAAATATGATTCATAATTAATACAGCCCACCCAGAAACTGCTACTTACACTTAGAAGGAGGCCTTGAAACAAATCCCCTTAATCCACTAAACATACGCAGGCTGTCACTTAAAAAACAACAACAAAGCAACTAATAGTCTGCTGGAAGAAAAAACACAATTACTTGCTGGAAAAGAAAGCATTGAAAGTCTTCATCTCCATCTTTCTCTAGAACTAAGCCATATCTGGCTATACCCCAAAAACCGAGGCACAAAAATGAGTGATCAGCATTCTTTTTTTCCCTCTCCTTTCAATTAGAATGTTCATTTTGAAGCCTAGATTTGCAATATTTTGCTTTTTGTTAAGAATATAGGAATCGAGCTAGCTGTTAGCAGAGGTGATGAAAGCCCTGCTCTTTCTCTTTTTTCTCTGTGTTATATAGGATCCTTGGGTGACACATCTGAAAGGAACTCTGACCTTCCTCTTGCCCTGATGAAGAGCTGGCAACAAAATGATTCTGTGTCATCAAAAAACACATGCATTTCACTCTACATCTAGCCTGAGTAAAGACAAAGATAATTTTCACAACTGCTTACAGCAAAATCTGGAAACTCTTAAGCACAAAGGAATTTTTCCTTCTGGTTCTGAAAGCAAACTGCCAGGAGAATGAAAGCATCTGGCTCAGCTCACAGAACAGTACACTGGTAAAAACCAAGATGATCCCCACAAACCTTCTCATCAGAAAACAAGAAATTTCTGACTAAAAGCTACTCACCAAAAACAATGTTAACTTTGTGACATGAAGGAAAAAGCACCAACCTTGGTCATAGCACTTGCATTTCACTACAGATGTGACAAAGTCACAGTCTGGCAGAACTCACCAGGATTATCTGACCTGCCTGGGTCATCAGATCTAAGCCACCCATTTTTTCTGTTTACTTGCATTGTCACAAGATGCTGGATGGAGTTTTCCATCATGCAGATACAGCAGTGCTTTAAGGAACGTTAACTGACTGCATAGCCAAATTACTACCCTTACACTAAATAGAAAAAGGAAATTACAGTCTTGCTATGTGGAGTGTTGATATCAACTTCTTCCATTAGGACTACATACTAGATATTGTGTTGGAACATTTTGAAAGATTTTAAACTGAGGTTTAGTTTGCAAGTGTTGGGTTGCTTTTTTGTGTGTGTGTGTGTGTGAATTACTGTTTTTTTTTGCTTGTTTGTTTGTTTTGACAAGGCCCAGCTACAAGGAATAATTGCCATTGCACTCGACACTTACCTAGAAAAAGAAAGGACAGTTTTCAAGCCTCCAAAAGCCAGGATCCACACAAAAATGTGTATTTAGCAGTGCTGTTTCAGGAGTGTACTGGGAACCTTGGTGCACTACATTGCACTCAGAAATCACAGAATCACACGGGGTTGGAAGGGACCTCAAGGATCATGAATCTCCAGCCCCCCTGCCACATGCAGGGCCACCAACCTCCCCATTCAATACTAGACCAGGCTGCCCAGGGCCCCATAGATCTGGCCTGGAACACCGCCAGGGACGGGGCATCCACAACTTCTCTGGGCAGCCTGTTCCAGCACCTCACCACTTCTCTGTAAAGAATTTTCCCCTGACATCCACGCAGGGCAGACAGTGGGACCAGCATCATATGGCCCATATGACACGCAAGAGCCATGTTCTGTTCCCTGCAGGACAGACAGCGGGAATAATCTCTGCAAAGGTTATTCATCAACATTATCTACTACCTATTCATCATGTACTCATCATCTATCTACTATCTACTATCTATTCATCAACACTTCCTACTGTCTTTTATATTTAATCTATTAATGCTGGTGCTCGCAACTTCAGAGTAATCTGTGGACAGGAAGGAAAGGAGGTTGGGACCCCACATAGCTGTCACCACTTTTAAAACATTTTCTCATCTCTTGGGCTTGAGCCTTCAGGATGTCATCAGATGTGCCCTTGGGTAAATCCAGCCAGACCTGATTAAATGGAAATTAATTTAGAAGGGCAGAACTGAGAGCTACGATGCTGTCACAACCACTGGACTCTCCATTTACAGAAATGAAAAAGGAAACAAGGCCTAGGCTCTCTAATTGCTAAGCTGAGATCCTGCCAGACAAGAAAAGAGCATTTACAGGACAAAGTCGAAGTACTTTTTACGCTGCCAATTCCTCCTCTCCCCAAAGACTGCAGAACTGGATGCTTCATTTACACTTCTCAACTGCTGTGCTTTTCAGAAAAGCTTCTAGGAGATGCAGTTTAGGCAGCTTTTAGAGGAAAGGATATCAGGACTGTGGTTACTGAAGTGGCATTCAACATCAGCCTCCTAGTCACCTTAAACTGTGACCAAGTACATGTCTTCTGCCTGAGAAGGTAAGTCTGAATCCTGTGTCGCATCACTAAGATAGAGTAAAATACTTTCTAATTAACCGTGTGTCAAAGTAGTAAGAAGTGATAGCATGCTCACAGTTGTATAAATTATACAACAAAATATAGTAAAGCAGAACTCTCCCCACAGGATTAGTAGAACATTTCTACCCAACCTAACACATTAACAAAATCTTCCATATCGAAGATGCTTGGAGCTAACAGAAAAACTGCATCACACACCCACTGTATTAGGAAGAGAGAACCACACAGAATTCAGCTTTGCTATAAGAACAATATGCTTAGTTTAAACAAGGCATTTGTTTCTTTTTAAAATGCATTATGCACTGCTGTCAAATAGACCTCACTCCTTCTATCACTTTGCTTTAGGGCAATATGATTTACTCCATTTTGGCGCTGCTCCAACAAAGCACTTACAAAAGGTCTTCATCTTCAAGCATGAGTAGTCCTGCCGAAATCAACAAGTCAATTACTCCTCCACTTAAAACTAAGCATGTGCTTAAGGACCTTGGTGGATCAAGCTCTTTTTGAGGAGAAAGATTATGAGAGTCACAGAGGACTGAGTGTAAACATGAGTAACACTAGAGGGGCCAGAGCCTGTCCGCTGATATTTCAAGCTCACTGCCCGCGCTTCTCAGTGAAGGTGACAATGGAAATCAATCTGCCAAAAGCCAAGGAATTCACTATAGGATATTGACTCTCAGGTGTGTGTGAGCAAGTTTTAGCCTGTGTTCTGACTATGGCAACCCACCATACAGTATGACAGCTCAGAAACAGTGCTTTATGTGAGAAGATGTTCAGTAAGTTATGGGAGAGAAGGTTTCACTGCTAGCTGGGAAAAAAGGCAAAGGCACACTAGAAAGGTGAAAGAACTTGCAGGAATGAAGCAAGCAGATAAAAGCTCCTTTACTTCAGGGAAAGCCCCACAGAATCTAGAACAAATCCATGTTGTGGTAAGTAGACACAAAACTGCTGACTTCACTGCAGAAAATCGGAGAGAAAGAAATGGATATTTTGCTACCAGCAGGAATCATATTTATCTACATCTGCAAAGCAAAGCCATAATGTAATTACAGTCTGTGTTAGCACCACTGCCAGCTGAACACAGCAGCAGGAAGACACAGGAGCATGACCTTTAAGGCAGACCTAGGGCTAGATTTCAGCAGTCAGAAGTGCTATGGAATGTGCTGCTGCACTTTCACTCCTCCTTTAACTGGTGAGCTTCAGTTAAAGCAACAAAACCTGTGCTTACCATTTGGTGCTGCACAGCACTCTGACTTAAGAAAATGATAAAACTGCATTCATGGCAACACTGGCCTGCTTCTTTACCACAGCTTGTTTTTGCAAACATATTACCAAAGTTCCTTTCTTCACTCTGCACAACGCTAATTGCAGGGTCAGGTCTTGTAGTTCCTAATCTGTGTTAGGTCTGAGAACATGCAGACCTGAGACTGGCAGCTTTTCATCATGTTACCTTCCCAGTATAGGCAACAACAGGATGACGTCCTAACTTCATACATTTCTACAACTGCTACCAAGTGTCAAAACCAAACTTAAGACATACACCATCAGCCCTGTATGTTTCCAGTTATGTGCAGTGAGGTGCTGGCACAGGCTGCCCTGAGAGGCTGTG